TGTGGAACACCGAAACGCAGATCGAAGCTATCCCATGTGACCCCTTCAAACAACACACGCTGACTGCGCCCTAACGGATACGACGAGAACCATTCTAAGGGCCTATCCGTGCACACCAGAGTCAGTGGTCAGACGTTGCAGCAAAAATTGTATGATCTACGGTGTCAAATGCAGCGCTTAAATCTAGAAGGACAAGTAATGTAACGCGCTGCGAGTTCATATTCAATAGAATATCATTAGCAACTTTAGCCAACGCTGTCTCCGTATTGTGATACTGGCGGTATGCAGATTGCAATAGCGGGTAAAGACCGGACCGGACAAGATGGTCATACGTCTGGTTGAATACTGCACGCTCAATGAGTTACTACCAGGACGCAAGTTCTTAAAGAGAGAATCCAGTCCCAATTTCTTTAACAATGGTATGACGACGGCCTCTTTCCAACAGTCAGGAAAAATTCCCGATTCCAACGAGCTGTTAATTATCCTTGTGATCACCGGAACTAGTGGCTCACTACAGGACTTCAATAAGTGCGTGGGTATGGGATCCAGGCAGCAGGATGCAGATTACGAGTTCGCAATGAGCAGGCGCACATCTTCCTCACCCAATAGCTGGAAGGCTTCAATTCGGATGGAAGGAGTTAGAGAGTCACCATTTACCATACCATCATCCGCAACGTTAACCTGAACATCCGGGATATAGCCCTGGTCAAGCTCATCACGCAGTCGGTGTATCTTTTGCACAAATTACTTTCGTATTTCATTTGCTAGCTCTGATTTGCTAGCATAGTCTGAGAAACAGAGCGATTTCTTTTCCACTAAAAGGTCTTTCACAGCACGAAATAACTTGCCTTGGTTATAAGAATTTTGGCTGACAAAGTGACTGAGGAAAGCAGATTTAGCTTCTTTCAGCAAATACGTAATATGATTTTTATGTAGTTTGAATGAGGCAAGGTCAGCGGCAGACCTAGTATTTCGTTAAGTACTTGGTGTAATCCTTAAAGTGCACCTATACCCAAAAATTTTTTTTCGCTTAACGAAATAAGCTTCATTTTTGGAGTATTTCTCTGCAAAAATTTCTTAATTTGCTCAAATCTTTAATTTTCTGTGCCCAGTCAAAATACGGAAAATCGGCCGCCATCTTGGCCCACGACCGAGTTTAAAGAGGAATGGCTCTAGCGGGTAATGTGACGTCAAATCGAGAACACGAAAGTCTGCATTTCACACATTTTCACTTGTTTGGGAAGGTTGTCGTCGATATTGTCCGAAATATGCCGACTAGGTGTGTTGTATGAGGAATGTACGAAGCGCGATACCCTCTTGCAAATTTCGCGCGTTGCTACATCCTTCTACAACACACTTAGTCGGCATATTTTCGGACAACATCGACTACAACCTTCCCAAACATGTGAAAATGTGTGAAATGCAGACTTTCGTGTTCTCGATTTGACGTCACATTACCCGCTAGAGCCATTCCTCTTTAAACTCGGTCGTGGGGCAAGATGGCGGCCGATTTTCCGTATTTTGACTGGGCACAGAAAATTAAAGATTTGAGCAAATTAAGAAATTTTTGCAGAGAAATACTCCAAAAATGAAGCTTATTTCGTTAAGCGAAAAAAAATTTTTGGGTATAGGTGCACTTTAAGGATTACACCAAGTACTTAACGAAATACTAGGTCTGCCGCTGACCTTGCCTCATTCAAACTACATAAAAATCATATTACGTATTTGCTGAAAGAAGCTAAATCTGCTTTCCTCAGTCACTTTGTCAGCCAAAATTCTTATAACCAAGGCAAGTTATTTCGTGCTGTGAAAGACCTTTTAGTGGAAAAGAAATCGCTCTGTTTCTCAGACTATGCTAGCAAATCAGAGCTAGCAAATGAAATACGAAAGTAATTTGTGCAAAAGATACACCGACTGCGTGATGAGCTTGACCAGGGCTATATCCCGGATGTTCAGGATAACGTTGCGGATGATGGTATGGTAAATGGTGACTCTCTAACTCCTTCCATCCGAATTGAAGCCTTCCAGCTATTGGGTGAGGAAGATGTGCGCCTGCTCATTGCGAACTCGTAATCTGCATCCTGCTGCCTGGATCCCATACCCACGCACTTATTGAAGTCCTGTAGTGAGCCACTAGTTCCGGTGATCACAAGGATAATTAACAGCTCGTTG